CCCTCCCCCTTCCAGGTAAGTATTGCACAGTCCCTTAATTGAAGAAGATGCTTCGACTTTAATTTGCGGGTTAAAAAAACTTCGTTGAGTGGAGGGGACACAACTTTAAAACTATAAAAGAAGGAGCTAAAATAGAGAGGGGAGGATTGAGAAAATGGCCTGTATCCCTTTTTTATAGTTTTAGTTATTTGTTGTTTTAGTTGTTGCTGTAATTATCTACTTAGTATCTAGAATGCACTGTAACAGTCAGTAGTAACTGTAATTTGAAACATGAGGTTGTACATTCTGTGACAAAACAAGGACCTTCCGTCCCCAAGAGTCTCTAGAGAGTCCACTGATCGTGGGCTTGGAAGTGGCCAATGAGATGATTCGCGTTCTTCACGCAACACGTGGCCGTTGAAACCCGTGCTTACATCCGACTGCCCAGAACCAAAAACTTTTAGAAATTTCTCCGACCAAAAGGAAATTGCTTAATTCTGACGAGTAGGAGGGGATTGTGAAAGCTTTCTGGTCTTCAGGAGTTTGTGACTTATGGTGAGTTTGCACGTTGTATTGTGATGCTCGAGCGATTTGTGAGTTGAGTTTGCACACAGTAACCTGCTTTGCTTCGCTATATATGTATGCAGGAAAACACGTTAACTGAGCCAACAACGAGCTATAAAGCCAAAGAAAATGGCCAGGTTACTCCGAAAAAGCAACAACAAACCCAAGTTGACGTGAGTGAAGCTTATTTCTTCATTTAGATGTTTGTAATTTTTTTCCAAGGTTTGAAAAATACAGTTTCCGGCATCATGAACGATTTAGAAATTGTTTGTTATGCAAAATAAAGCAAAAGAGTATGTTGTAGTGAATGTTTTATCTCAGGTAATTTATATTTTTCTTTTGTTTCAACTTTATTAGCATACACTACCATACCCACAAACAAAAGAAAAACAAAAATTACCTGAGATAAAAAAATAACTACAAAAAGTATAAAAACATGCAGTAATTTGTGCACCGAGCCCTGGTCGCTTGTTCTCTCAATAAATTTTCTTGACGTTCGTCATCAAAATAGCAGTAAGTGGCAACTTAATCAATACCATTTTATGATGAATTTATTTATCGACAAATGAGCTGGACGTGCTCTTTTTCGGCACTAAGATGATGGGTATGACAACTCTTTAAATAAACTTCCCCCTTTTCTAAACATTAAAATTAAACTAGGGCAAATAGAATTTTAATAACTTAACCAAAACATGTTTTTATTGTACCGACAGAAATCGTCGAGTAACAATCAACAGTTTTGTCAAAGGGGAATGTTGCATATACCCTGGCATCAACTTATATCAAACTCTAGCCTGCAATCTAGATCACCCGGTTTCTCTGCCCTCGCCCGCCTATATATCTTAGCGCGCCTAACCATAACTGCCATGCTATGCAGGCTAATCAAGGTCGGGAGGAAATTCACTTCAAACTGCTGATTTTAATAATTTAAATATTTAAAGATATCTGCCACCTGTTTGGAGAAAGGACATGCTGCAAAAACTCTTACTACTTTCATTATGAAAGATCAAATATAACAATAACCGAAAAAGCCATTAAACTCACTAATATCAATAGGTAGTAGATTTCCGGACTTTAATTAGTTTCCAAGCCATTTAAAGAGCAAATACAACTTCATATCTATGCAAATTATTGAATTTGATCTGAGAAACATACGCACGTATAGAGGAAAAGCAAAGCCTTTATATTAGGGTGGAAAATTTCAAAAGCTTAGTGAAGTCTAATACCGTGGCCAAGAAAAGGACAGCAAGTTACACAAAAACCTGCACCAAGGTTTTCTATTTGTTAAACAGTACAAGCGCCCTGATTTGCTATCCGGTGGCAGAATTACCCGAAGCGGTTGGTGAATCTTCGTTCACTCAACAGTCAGGAGATTGTCATTGTGTCGGGGATTTGCCAATTCTTGACGAGGTATTTGTGGTCACTCGAACTACTTTGGACCAAGCACCATTAACTATCTGAATTAACTATCTTCTGTTAATGGGGAAGCCAGAGTCAGTGCAGAGTAGACCTTCTCTTAAAGTAAACCATAAGATGATGATAAAGTTCAGAGGCTGATAATCATAATAATTATTTGAACGTTAACCTTACTGAAAATTATACTAGATAGGGCTTGGAACAATGTCGTTTCTCACACTTTGCGTTTTAAACTCTTTTTTATCTTACACCGCTTTCTTGTTTAATATTGTGACAATTAATGCGATAAAGAAAACTTCGTCGTTGTCCAAAAATTTGAAAACACTTCTCCTGACTCTAGCAATCTCTGATCTTGGTGTTGGCTTACTGGCGCAGCCTATGTATGCTACACAACTTATAATGAAGTGGAAACAACACAACGAAAATGATTCATTATATATTGGAATATCCAACGCACATCTAATTCTGACAAATATTTTTGCCCCTGTCACGTTCTATGTTCTCGCAGTGCTGTGTGTAGAAAGATTCATGGCCATTCGTCTACCCCTCAGATACCAGGAACTTGTGACACACAAGCGCATTGCCACTGCGGTAATCTCAATTTGGTCTCTAAGCGGACTTTTCTCGCTGCTGAGGTTATGGACGCCGAAGATGGTGATGTACGGATTTTTTGCCTTGTTTGCGTGTCTTTGTTATATAGCTGCCACTTGGTTTAGCGTCAGAATTGTTTCGCTAGTGCGAAAGCAAATAAACGTTATCCACGTTCTACAAGGACCTCAAGTAGCACAGAGCGGTCAAATGGCCCACGTTATCAGATTGCGCAAGTTTGCGATCGCATCGGTCTACCTGTATGTCATTTTTCTGGTTTGCTATTTGCCAAATACTTGTGTTTTATTTGCTATCGCTTCCAATGGACCAAGCACAAGCTTAAGGCATTTGCAGCTTTTTACCATGACACTTCTGTTTCTTAATTCAACCCTTAATCCGTTGATTTACTGCTGGAAGATGAAAAACATCCGACACACTGTCGTTGACATGCTGCGACACACTTTCTCAAGCTTCAGTCGCCCAACTGAGGAAAGTTGAAATATTTCAACCATGCACTAAACTCTGTAGCTAATAGAGCGGTTTTCATTTGAGTGTCGAAAAGTAATTGGTTTGCACTTTCTACACGATG